TTTTTTCTAGATTTGTCTGCTTTCGTCAGCGGTGGTCTTTGAGCAGGAAACGTCTTTGCTACCATGCAGCCTCACGACTCCGCCTCGAAAGCTATGCTGCCCTCCCTGCTAGGCAGGCCGAGATCAGGCCAGTCACTTTGGACTTGTGCGAAGTAGATTGCGCTTGACACGTTGGCATGCAGAATGTGTCACAACATGTAACAACAAGTTTGCAGCTGCTGCAAGCACGCCCTTGGAGCCCTTGAACATGATGCAGGTGCTGAATGCAGTGCCGGCGTTGTCCCAGCGAGCTGTGTCATCAGAGGCACGTTTCCAATTCTCTGCAACAGGAGACCACTGCACCTGGTCTAAGCAACTCTGCCAGATTGTGATAGCTTAGCTTCAGTTCCTCGAGAAGGACTTAGTAACAAAGAGATGTTCGCAGGCACCGGGCAGTTGCTGAAGCCGGCGAGAACGCTAGTGATGGTGACCCCGCAGGCTTGATTGCAGGCTTTAAGATTTCAAGGCAAAATGGGTTGAATCGATGTCTTGCGTCATATGCCAGGCAAAGCTGTTGTCACGTCCAGTGGGCTTCATTCCGCGTGGCACTGGCCTGCCCGGAGACCTACTTTCAAGAAAATGCGCCAGTTCAAAGAGTGACGTCTTCATGAGGTTCCCTCCGCAGCCTGGCTTGCGGCGTATTGCAGGACGTGGCCGGGAGCGGTGTTTGTGAATGCCAGAGGTCAGAGTTTGTGGCGATTGCATGAGGGGTAACCTTGCCTATGTTTGCAGAAGGACCTCCAAATGCCTCTGCGGCAGCCGAGAAGAAGGCATTTGTGACATGCAGTTGTTTGCACGAGCATTTGGCCATACCGGTTCGCGGTTGCAACTTGCTGGATGTGATGAGCGCGAGGAAAAACAATTCCCCCCGGCGAACCTTCGTGTGTGTTGCGTGAGCTCTGCCGAAGAGGCACAGGCAAACCTCAGGGTCTGAATTAAATGCCTGTCTTGAGATGATTTCGAGGTGAGCTGGTCGCCTGCAGTGTCCAATGACCCGGCGCCAACAACACCCGCAACGCGAGCTGCTGCGTGACTTGCCGGCTTGTATATTGAGCGCCATGACAGGTCCAAAAAAACCTTTTGCGACACAGTTCCGCTCACTCCTGAGGTCATCTTTGCCAAGCAGCCCTGATAAAGAGGCCAGATTTGATGTCGCTGAACCAGGGGGTGGGTTCTATTGAGATAATGGAGGATATACAATTGACTACTATAATAATTCTATACTATATCGGGTCTTTCAAGTTTGCCTTGTGCTGAGTCCCCGTCGTCGATGGATTCGGTCAGCTCTCCGCCGCCGGCGGACCGGGAGGCCGGCTGCCAGCTTGCACTTGTGGACGACTTGGGGAATGGAAAAGAAAATGGAAACTACAATAATGGGTTATAGAGGGGTTCTATTGAAGTTATGTAGGGATAATGGAAAATGAAATGGAAACTACTAGGATTTTACGAGTTGTGCTGTAATTCAGTCACAAGGCAAGTCTTTCAGTGGCTGCCAAAGAGGTCCAGGCCCGTGCCCATTCCTGCACAGCTCCCGAGTAGAAGCGTGCAATTTTTTGAATCGGATGCAGGCAAAGTCAGGCGGAGTACGCCTTGCACCAGAGCGCATTGCGCCTCTTGGCGCAACATTTTGGAGAAGAGTTTCTGAGCAGCAGCAACGGACGTGAGGCGAATGAAGCTCTTTAAGGACCTCGTGTGCGTGACCACACGGAAGGCTCTCCCATTGTGAGATGTGAATTGGACAGTCGCCCGTTTAAATGCGCAAGGCTCCCGTCAGCAATGATCCTCTACGTGATCCAGAGCCCCTAGAGGCAAACAAAGTGGGAGACGAGAGCAGACAGT